GGTTTTAGGCCAGTAGCGGCGAAAATCGCGCGGTTTTTGGCCAGTAGCGGCGAAAATCGCGCGATTTTTGCCAGCCAGCTGCGAAAATCGCACGGTTTTTGGCCGCTAGCGGCGAAAATCGCGCGATTTTGGTCTGCTAGCGGCGAAATTCGCACGATTTTTGGCCGCTAGCGGCGAAAATCGCGCGTTTTTTTGCCAGTAGCGGCGAAAATCGCGCGATTTTTGCCAGCCAGCTGCGAAAATCGCACGGTTTTTGGCCGCTAGCGGCGAAAATAGCCCCTTTTTTGGCCGCTAGCGGCGAAAATCGCGCGATTTTTGGCCGCTAATTGCGAAAATGGCGAGATTTTTGCCCGCTACCGGCGAAAATAGCCCCTTTTTTCGCCGCTAGCCGCGAAAGTCGGTCGATTTTTGGCCGGTAGCGGCAAAAATCGCGCAATTTTTGCCCGCTAGCGGCGAAAATCGCACGGTTTTTGGCCGCTAGCGGCGAAATTCGCGCGATTTTGGCCGCTAGCGGCGAAATTTGCACGATTTTTGGCCGCTAGCGGCGAAAATCGCCCGATTTTTGGCCCTAGCGGCGAAAATAGCCTTTTTTTGGCCCCTAGCAGCGAAAATCGGTCGATTTTCGCCGCTAGCGGCCAAAAACCGTGCGATTTTTGCAACTGGCGGGCAAAAATCGCGCGATTTTCGCAGGTAGCGGCCAAAAACCGCGCGACTTTCGCTGCTAGCGGCCAAAAAACGTGGGATTTTTGCCGCTAGCGGCCAAAAATCGCGCGATTTTCGCCGGTAGCGGGCAAAAAACGGCCGAATTTCGCTGCTGGAGGGCGAAAATCGAGCGATTTTCGCCGCTAACGGCGAAATTCGCGCGGTTTTTGGCCGCTAGCGGCAAAAATCGCGCGGTTTTTGGCCGATAGCAGCGAAAATCGCGCGATTTTTGCCCGTCAGCTGCGAAAATCTCATGGTTTTTAGCCGCTAGTGGCAAAAATCGCGCGATTTTTGGCCGCTAGCGGCGAAATTCGCACGATTTTTGGCCGCTAGCGGCGAAAATAGCCCTTTTTTGGCCGCTAGCGGCGAAGGTCGGTCGATTTTTGCCGCTAACGGCCAAAAACCGCGCTATTTTCGCTGTTAGCGGCCAAAAACCGTGCGATTTTCGCCGATACCGGCCAAAAATCGCGCGATTTTCGCCGGTAGCGGGCAAAAATCGGGCGAATTTCGCCTCTGGAGTGCCAAAAACGGGCGATTTTTGGTGCTAGCGGCAAAAAATCGCGCGATTTTTGGCCGCTAGCGGCGAGAATCGCCCGATTTTTGCCCTGGTAGTGGCGAAAATCGCCTGATTTTTGGACGCTAGCGGCGAAAATCGCGCAATTTTTGGCCGCTACCTGCGAAAATCGCGCGATTTTTGCCCGCTAGTGGCGAAAATCGCTCGGTTTTTGGCCGCTAGCGGCGAAAATCGCCCGGTTTTTGTCCCGGTACTGGCGAAAATCGCCCGATTTTTGGATGCTAGCGGCGAAAATCGCGCGATTTTTGGCCGCAACCTGCGATAATGGCGCGATTTTAGCCCGCTACCGGCGAAAATAGCCCGTTTTTTGGCCACTAGCGGCGAAAATCGGTCGATTTTTGGCCGGTAGCGGCGAAAATCGCGCGATTTTTGCCCGCCAGCTGCAAAAATCGCCCGGTTTTTGGCCGCTAGCGGCCAAATTCGCGCGATTTTGGCCGCTAGCGGCGAAATTCGCACGATTTTTGGCCGCTAGCGGCGAAAATAGCCCTTTTTTTGACCGCAAGCAGCGAAAATTGGTCGATTTTCGCCGCTAGCGGCCAAAAACCGTGCGATATTCGCCGCTAGCGGCCAAAAAACGCGCGATTTTCGCTGCTAGCGGCCAAAAAACGCGATTTTCGCTGCTAGCGGCCAAAAACAGCGCGATTTTAGCCGCTAGCGGCCAAAAATCGCGCGATTTTCGCCGGTAGCGGGCAAAAATCGGGCGAATTTCGCTGCGGGAGGGCAAAAATCGGGCGATTTTCGCCGCTAGAGGCGAAAATCGCTCGGTTTTTGGGCGCAAGTAGCGGCCAAATTACTGAAAACAGCGATGGGTCATATTTTGCTCAAACCCCCCTGCAGGTTTTAAAATGTCTGAAATGTCGGAAATTTTACTCCTGAGCGTAATTTTTGAGCCGAATTCTGACTTTCTGCACCTATTTTCAGTTTCAAATTACAACGTTTCATACCGAAAATATGCCAATTACTGTAAACGGCGATCGGTCGATGAGTCATATTTTGCCCAAACCCCCCTGCAGTTTTCAAAATGTCTGAAATGTCGGAAACTTGACTCCTGAGCGTGATTTTTTGTCCGAATTCTAACTCTCTTCACCTATTTTCAGTTTCAAATTACGACGTTTCATACCGAAAATATGCCAATTACTGAAAACGGCGATGGGTCATATTTTGCCCAAACCCCCCTGCAGTTTTCAAAATGTCTGATATGTCGAAAATTTGACTCCTGAGCGTGATTTTTTATCCGAATTCTGACTCTCTTCACCTATTTTCAGTTTCAAATTACGACTTTTTATACCGAAAATATGCCAATTACTGAAAACGTCGATGGGTCATATTTTGCCCAAACCCCCCTGCAGTTTTCAAAATGTCTGAAATGTCGGAAATTTGACTCCTGAGCGTGATTTTCTATCCGAATTCTGACTCTCTGCACCTATTTTCAGTTTCAAATTACGACTTTTTATACCGAAAATATGCCAATTACTGAAAACAGGGATGGGTCATATTTTGCCCAAACCCCCTGCAGTTTTCAAAATGTCTGAAATGTCGGAAATTTGACTATTGAGCGTGATTTCTTGAGCCGAATTCTGACTCTCTGCACCTATTTTTAGTTTCAAATTACGACGTTTCATACCGAAAATATGCCAATTACTGAAAACGGCGATGGGTCATATTTTGTCCAAACCCCCCTGCAGTTTTTAAAATGTCTGAAATGTCGGAAATTTGACTCCTGAGAGTGATTTTTGAGCCGAATTCTGACTCTCTGCACCTATTTTCAGTTTCAAATTACGACGTTTCATACCGAAAATATGCCAATTACTGTAAACGGCGATGGGTCATATTTTGCCCAAACCCCCCTGCAGTTTTCAAAATGTCTGAAATGTCGGAAATTTGACTCCTGAACGTGATTTTTGAACCGAATTCTGACTCTCTGCACCTATTTTCAGTTTCAAATTACGACGTTTCATACCGAAAATATGCCAATTACTGTAAACGGCGATGGGTCATATTTTGCCCAAACCCCCCTGCAGTTTTCAAAATGTCTGAAATGTCGGAAATTTGACTCCGGAGCGTGATTTTTTATCCAAAATCTGACTCTCTGCACCTATTTTTAGTTTCAAATTACGAATTTTTATACCGAAAATATGCCAATTACTAAAAAACGGCGATGGGTCATATTTTGCCCAAACCCCCTTGCAGTTTTCAAAATGTCTGAAATGTCGGAAATTTGACTCCTGAGCGTGATTTTTTAGCCGAATTCTGACTCTCTGCACCTATTTTCAGTTTCAAATTACGACTTTTTATACCGAAAATATGCTAATTACAGAAAACGGCGATGGGTCATATTTTCCCCAAACCCCCCCCCCCTGCAGTTTTTAAAATGTCTGAAATGTCGGAAATTTGACTCCTGAGAGTGATTTTTTATCCGAATTCTGACTCTCTGCACCTATTTTCAGTTTCAATATACGACGTTTCATACCGAAAATATGCCAATTGCTGTAAAGGGCGATGGGTCATATTTTGCCCAAACCCCGCTGCAGTTTTCAAAACGTCTGAAATGTCGGAAATTTTACTCCTGAGCGTGATTTTTTATCCGAAATCTGACTCTCTGCACATATTTTCAGTTTCAAATTACGAATTTTTATACCGAAAATATGCCAATTACTAAAAAACGGCGATGGGTCATATTTTATCTCTCTCATCTCATTTTTCTCTTGTAATGTATCTTTATCATTTATCAATTCTGATTGAAATTACCTACTTAAAATTATCTGCTAGATTTATTTATTTATTTATTTATTTATTTATTTATATACAAGAAGGTACATTGGGTTTGTGAGAATACATTGGATAGTACAGTATTTACATTCTTGTAAAGCCACTAGTACGCACAGCGTTTCGGGCAGGTCCTTAATCTAGCAGATAATTTTAAGTAGGTAATTTCAATCAGAATTGATAAATGATAAGGATACATTACAAGAGAAAAATGAGATGAGAGAGATAAGTAGGTATATTAAAGCATATTGTTATATTAAAGCTCTGATTGATTACATTGACAGCTTGATTAGTAATTTAAACAAGGTTAATAGACACCATACAGCAGATTGACAGCACATATAAGACAGCAATGATCACAATGGTAAAGATGTTCAGATTGGGTACATAAAGATTGGGAGACTGGGTAGCAAAAGATACAGATAAACAAGATTTATAAACACCATACAACAGATTGGCAGCACATATAAGAAAACAGCAATGATCACAATGGTAAAGATGTTCAAATTGGGAACATAAAGGTTGGGAGATTGGGTAGCAATTGATAAAGTGCAATTTTAAGGCAAAAAGTGAAAAACTATGAAGATGAAATTAGGTACTTTTTAGTATTGATTTTGAATGATGTAAAAGTTGGACAGCTTTTCAATTCAGTAGGGATCGAGTGAGATTAAGGACCTGCCCGAAACGCTGTGCGTACTAGTGGCTTTACAAGAATGTAAATACTGTACTATCCAATGTATTCTCACAAACCCAATGTACCTTCTTGTATATATATAAATAAATAAATAAAATAAATAAATAATGTATTATGATTAAAGACGAACCGAAACGTCGTCGTCTTTTTATCTTTTAGTGTTTAGTTTGGTCAACATTCTTCAGCCCTGTTATTGTGACTCATCATCTGCAATAATTATGTTATTATGAAATTATGAATTAAAATGATAAATAAAGTTGGAAGCCTTCGTGGTAGGCAGGTCCCGGCGGAGTGCGGTCTTGTTTATCAACAACAGCTCAGATGGTAGTGTTCCTCCCTGGGCTTAGTCAGTTATCCTCACTATATGGTGTTAAGATGGAACTCTGAGGAAAGTGTGTTCACATATAAGGTAATTGTGAATGCCCATAAGATACTTGTAATTGATAGAAGTGATATTGCCGGAAATTACCAAAAAATATGGCGGGGGGGGCCCCGCGATCTGTGCCAGAATGACCCAAACCGTTGGTGGTACCAAACAAACGTTTAGCCTCCTTGGTAATGATGTCCTGTAATGAGTTGTTCACTAGTTGTTTGACCACAAAGTTACATTTTACGATATTATATTTAAAGGCTACACAGTCTTCCTATTTCACTCTGTGGGATGGGTGGGCAGAGATGCACAGAACCCTGGGAAAAGGGGGCTGTGTAGTAGTGAAGCGAGAGACTGGTTTATCTTTCAGCTGATCATGTACTAGGCTGACAAACCTTCCTTCACATGTTAACAATTTAACTTAGATGTACTAAATGTACACAACTGTACAGTCTGAGTGCTATGAGTAAGTTTGAGCAGATTTACTGTATGGGTAATAATACCATAGGTTGTGGTAAAGGAAGAGGGTTTTGTCACTCCTATGTAAACCGACTGTAATCATTCGCTAGTAATGCATTAGCTAAAATTATTTTCTCAAGTATTATATTTCCCTGAATTTACCTGAGGGCTACTATTTCTCTAGTGACCTCGAAGAGGACAGGAAGCTCGTGCTTATCAAAGGGCTCCTATTTGTCCTGATGGCTTTTTCAATCTGTATTTTAAAATTTTGCTCTGTTTTTGCATTTATGGATTCGGTGGGTAGGCAGTTCCATGGTTTTATAACCCTATGGGTGGAAAAGCATCTCCTGTTTTCGATCCATGGGCATGGGGGTTCAACCACTGCAAACTACCTCAAGTCCATCATCACCCAGCAAAAATCTGCTATTAAAATAATAACAAACTGCTTTCAGACAACACTCAGCTCCCTTGTTTAACTCCCTTAACATGCTAAACATAATCTCACTCCACAAATTTTCTTGTGTCAATTACATTTACAAAACCTTGTTCTTAAATGCAAACCATGCTCTGAAACTCGCCCTGGACTGATGTAATAGGACCCATTATCACCACACCAGAAACAAATATCTCTTTGATATCCCCAGAGTCAAACTTAATCTGTGTAAACACTATGCAAATAAAGGGGGACCTAGTCTATGAAACTCACTCCCTAATGAATTGAGAAGCTGTCCAACTTTTGCCTCATTCAAAAAAAAAAAAAAAAAAAAAGTACATAATTTCATCTTCATCGTGTCATACCTTGTGCTTTAAAATTGCACTGTATCTAGTGCTACCCAATCCCCCATTCTTTATGTACCTAATCCAAACAACTTTACCATTGTGATCATTGCTGTCTTCTTATATGTGCTATCAATATGCTGTATTGTGCCTATTAATCTTTGTTAAATTACCAATCAAGCTGTCAATGCAATCAATCAGAGCTACCGATGTGCTTTAATATACCTACTAATCTCTCTCGTCTCATTTTTTTTTTCTTGCAATGTACCTGTTATCACTTTATAAATTTTGCTAGAATTTACCTACTTAAAATTGTATGTTAGATTAGGGACCTGCCCAAAATGCTGCGAGTACTAGTGGCTTTACAAGAATGTTAATACCATGCTATGTATCCTCACAAACCCAATGTACCTTCTTGTATATAAATAAATAAATAAATAAATAAATAAATAAATAAATAAATAAATAAATATCCTATATTGTGGCTTGTTGAGCTTGAAACAGTTGTTCCTTGTTGTTATATCTGACCTTTTGAAGAAGCTGTCTGAATCAATATCCTCAAAATTATGTAGTATTTTAAAAGTTTCAATATCACCCCTGTCTTGTCTAGTTTGCAGTGGTGTTAGCCCTAAGACCCTCAATCTTTCTGGGTATGAAAGTCAACTTAGTTCTTTAATGATTTTTGTTAGCTGGTGTTAGACTTTCTTCAAAGCAACTGTCTTTATGAAGATGACGTCTCCATGCTTGGATACAATAATCCAAGTCAGGGTGCAGCAGAAATTTATACAGCTAAATAACTACCTTCTTTTTCTTGAAGTCAAATGTTTGCTTTATTATACCTAGGATTTGGTTAGCCTGTTTTTATGCAGGTCCTACTTGTTGTGCAACTTTCAGAGAATGATGTATTCTGACTCAAAGGTCCTGCTGTTAGGTAATATTGTTAATTTTGTGGATGTGATGATTATTGTCATGCATGCAACGTCTTGTATTTTTTCAATATTAAAAAGCATTTGCCAGCCTTCCGACCACCTGTGTAGTTCACGTAGATCTTCTTGTAAGAACTCGATCTCATTTTCACTTCCCACTTTGTTTTAAATCTTCTTAGTGTCATCTGCAAATTTAATGATGTGGTTTGTAATATTCTCATCTGTCATTGATGCACATGACAAAGAGGGGTGGCCCCAAAATGGACCTTTATGGTACCTCAGTCACCCCATTTCTCCAGACAAATTTATTTCTGCTAAGGACGACCCTTTGTCTTCTTTGTTTTAATATTGTTGAATCCATTCTGTGTACATCATATTATATATCTGGTTATACATTTTGCTTAGTGATATTATTAGGATAATAATCAGCTATTAGAAAACACTTGTTTTATGAATTATTGATTAGATTGAAACTTTCCTGGTGACAGATTAATTTCTGGCTGCCCATCTTAAGGAAATATGCCTACTTCCTGCTCAGCCAAACCAGCAGACACCTACTTCGGTGGAGCAGGTGAGTAAATCCGGCCTGCAAGGTTTGCTTTGCAACCTGTGATTTCCGAAGCAAGGTTGACTGAATTGAGGTTGCACTGTATTTAAAACAAAATTCTATTGTTCAGACATTGAGTTTTCGTGATTAATTTTGGTAATTAATAGCCAAAAAATTTATAATTTCTGAATTTCATATGATTTTGGAATGATACATAATAATGCAGATTTTTTAGGTGCACTCATATATAGTAAACAACTGATGTTCCAGGACAGAGGTGCTCTCTACTTACAACTGTCTCCATTTCACTTAACTACATTCATGCTAACTATCTGTTTTCTTTGAAATAACTAAGCTCTTTATCACTTGTTTTATTTTCAGATGTTGACTGAGAATAGTATGCAGTAGTGACTTTGCAATGATACTGCAAGTGCCATCTCGACAACATGGAGTTAAAAATCTAAAAAAGGTATTAGTAGCATTTAGCACATGCACAGTTAGAATATAAATAACATAAATTTCATATCTTTAACTGTTCTTGCTAAAATTATTTTCAGTAAGTACAGTACTGTACATTATCTAGCATGTAGCATCTTATGTTTTGAATTTTCAGGGAATGTAAGGGTGGGGGATATTTTTTTTTATTTAGTGATTCCCTCCTTACATACAGTGTGTGTGTATTCACCTAGTTGTGTTTGGGGGGGTTGAGCTTTGCTCTTTTGGCTCGCCTCTCAACTGTCAATCAACTGTTTACTAACTACTTTTTTTTGTTTTTGTTTTTCCACACCCCACACACACACAGTGGAAGCAGGAAGCAGTCTGTGACAGCTCACTAACTCCAAGGTACCTATTTACTGCTAGGTAACAGGGGCATTCAGGGTGAAAGAAACTTTGCCCATTTGTTTCTGCCTGGTGCGGGAATCGAACCCGTGCCACAGAATTACAAGTTCTGCGCGCTATCCACCAGGCTACCAGGTGTGTGTGTGTAATTTATATAAATACATTTTTTTCCAAAGGGGTTTCGTTCCCTTCACTGCTGACGGGGCGCTGGGGGAGGGGGCAGCTTGCTCTATTGGCTCTCACTTGGTCCTGCAGTTTGTGAGCATTTTTTGATTGTCTTCCAGCCTCTAGTGGTGTCGGGCAGCTTCTCCCCCTTTGGGGGGTTCGGGGCTGGCGGGGTGGGATTTTTCCCCTGTGCTTTGTCATGTCCTCTTGGTGTGTTTGCTTTTGGACATAGTCGATCTGCCCCATCCTTCTGGGGTTCCTGCCTGTTCTAATGCAGACACAGGATTTTGCGGAACTGCAGTTCTTCTGGACTTGTTCAGTCTGCGCCCTGGATTCTTTGCCCTCTTCAGAAGAATGTTGTCTCCGGTTCGGCTTATGTTGCGGCCGGGTGCCTGGATGGTGTCCCGGGTCACTTCTTGGCACGTTCCTCTCCAGGGTTCTGGGACTGGCACAGTTGGTGGTGAGGCTTCAGGCTTGCCGCTTTTGTTGCCTTCCCTAGTTTGTAATGGGCACTTAGTGTATACTGTCTCCACTCGATTATCTGGACTATATGGGAAGGACCCCCAGCCGGATAATCACGTGTTCCGGATAATAATACTTTTTCACCTCTTGAGTCCAAAAGTGACCATTTCCAACTATTTTTATACTACAAACAGCATAATTTGAATTGCCTTGCCACATATAATTATTAAATATTCAACTAGAAACATCAACTTACCTTGTTGTTGTTGGTCTTCTTGATTGATGCCACACATCTTGAAGTTAAGAATTCTTGACAAATTATGTAACCTATGCTAACACAACACTAAAATTAACACTTGAAATTACTGTACAGTTCATTAAGCAAAGTTAGTTTTGACTGCCAGCTGCTGAAGCCTCACTGGTTGAAGGCACTTGGGTTGCCTGTGATGCCTCACTTGGTTTGCCTGTGATGCCTCACTTGTTAAAGGCGCTTGGCTTGATTTTCTTACCATATAAGAATCACATTTAGCTTGCCTTCTGTGTTCATTAGCCTGTTGTATGATCAGCTCTTTGGTTCGCCTCAGGCTTCACTTCACTTGAAGTCGACCGGCCATTTTCACAAAGTTGTATAACACGTAACTTGTCTTTAATAGTTAGGACAACCTTCTTCCTCTTAACACCTCCAGAACGATAGATGCTGCTACCAGACATAGTCTTGACCAAAAATGTTCAAAGTTACAATGAAAATAAAAGTTATTTAAAAAAATATTTCACTAATAGCGCAGCACTGTGGTAAAACACGAGGGGCGGGAGCACGTGGGTTGACCAGGATTGGACACGTCCACTTGGGGCAGCTTTAACACGTTACGTAGGCCGCCAGGAGGAAAAGTCACAATATTTTTTAAGGAAACTTCAACCTGTGTAAATTGATTTTTTTGGAAACTTATATAATTTGTTATTACATAATTACTATAGTATCTCTTGTTTTTGGATATGATGAATTGTTCTAAAATTAATGGTAATTCCTGTAATGTAGTGTATAGGCCCCCCTCTACATCCCCCTTATCCCCCCAGGTGGTCCCACCCAACGCTCCCCTCTCTCCTTACACCACCCACCCACCCCACCCTCTCCTCCACCATGTGCCTCGAGCCACAGTCAGACGGGATTAATATGGTACGACCCGCCCCATGGCTTTCATATCCGGACAATTCAATGATTATCCAGCTGACTGTCCGGATAGTGTAACATCGGCAGCAAGTTAACCGGCTCCGATATTTTATCTGGCTAAACCAGCTTTTATCTGGCTCCCATGGCCATTTTGGCCGGATATTGAGATAATTTTATCCGGTCACGATTTTGGCCGTATAAAGGTTTTTTCCGGAAGTTCGAATCCCGGATAATCGAGTGTCTACAGTATACGCATCTTTACCGGATCTTGGTGATCTGTCTGCGTCTGCTTGGGATTCAGTTTTCTGGCCCACCTCAACGACTGGCTGGTGTGGGCTTCCAGTCGGTCCGCTTGTCTGCTCGCCAGGGGTGTGGCTCTTTCCAGATCGCCGGGTTCGGGTTCATGGTGAACTGGAGGCCGTTTCATCTGGTTCCGTCCCGGGTTCGGACCTGCTGGGTCTTGTTTAGGACTCTTGGACTGCTTCTTTGTCTTTCCCTCCTCAGGCATTGCTGTGGTAGTGCGGGAGTCTGAACTTCGCCATGCTGGTCTATCCGCCGGGTTGGGTTTGACTTCGGCGTCTGTTTTGGTTCCTTCGGGGACTCCCCTTCTGCCTCTCTTGCGATCGTTGGGTGCGTCCACCGGGGACCTTGTGTTCGTGCTGCGTCGCCGGTTTCCTCTTGGGTGGTTTTCGGGGTTCCGTGCCTTGGCGCCTCCCCAAGCCTTCACTCGATGTGTTCACGGATGGGTCGTCTCTCGGCTGGGGCTTTGTGACCAGTGCTCAACAAGCCAGCCAGGGACGGAGGGTTCTGTCCTTCCATCAGGCTCACAGCATGGTTCGGGAGTTTGTGGCTGTCTGGTTGTGCTTCAGAGGGTTCGGGTCACTTGGGGCTCTACCATCTGGCTCCATTCAGACTGTTCTCCGGTGGTTCATTGCCGAAACCACGGGGATTCTCTTTGGTCCTTGCCCTTCGAGGTTAATCCCTTCAAGTGGCTCGTGTGCTGGATTCTCGGGGTTTGGCTCTCCGTGCGTTTCATGTCCGGGGAGTGTCCTACTTCCTGGCGGATGTAGTAATAAGAATATAAGTAATAATGTAATTTACGGGAGCCAGTGGCTGAGCGGACAGGACACTGGACGCATGATCCTGTGGTCCCGGGTTCGATCCCAGGCGCCGGCGAGAAACGATGGGTAGAGTTTCTTTCACCCTGATGCACCTGTTACCTAGCTGTAAATAGGTACCTGGGAGTTAGTCAGCTGTCACAGGCTGCTTCCTGGAGGTGGGGGCCTGGTTGAGGACTGGGCCGCGGGGACACTAAAGCCCCAAAATCATCTCGAGATAACCTAAAGATAACGGCCTTGGTTCATTCCTCTGTTCACGGATTGGCCGGTCGTCGCCAGGGGCGTTTCCCGCAGCTCCGCCTCTTTCAGCAGATCGGACTGGTCCGATACATCGCTGGTTTGACCTTTTCCTCGACTCTTCGCATCTGTTCTTTTGACGCGGGTGTATCACCATCTCTATGGTGATCAGGTGGCTTTGTTGATGGTGTCCCACCTGCGCGCTTCGTCTCGACGACAGTATGAAGTTTCCTGGCATTTCTATTAGCCATTGTCTTGCTCTTTGTAGGTTGGCTTCTCTTTCGCATCGAGTTGTCTTGTCCTTTCTTGGTTTTCCGGAACGTTATTTGATGCTTTATCAAATGCGATACTGTCGCCTCGTATCGTACGGCACTGGCGGAGCCGCTCCAGCTTGCGTTCGGGGTGGACGTCACATCCGTCCCGTTCCGTACGCTTTCTCGTGCTTTGTTTCACCTCCGGCCTGCTCATGCGTGACCTGAGCTGTCCTGGTCCTTGGTCAGGGTGCTCTCTTTTTCTTTCCTCTCCTCGATTTGTGGTAGCCCCTTCGGTTCAAGATTGTCTTTCGAAGATCCTATATTTGTTGGCACTGGCCTCTGGGTATCGGGTCGGGGTGCTTCCGGCTCCCATCCGGCACAGGAGTTTCTGCTCTTTTGGTTCTGGTGGTAGGTTTGTACGTTTGCAGCCTTCTCCATCTTTTCTGGCGAAGGCTGAGACGGCTGCTTTCCTTGCGTTATTGATGCTTGGTTGGTTCAGTCAGGGGTGTCATGGATTGTGTCTGGTTGCGGCTCTTCGCCGTTACCTGCGTGCCATGGCTGGGGATGCGCTTTGGGTTGATCCGGTTTCCCTAGCTCCCTGTTCTAGAGCTCGGGTCTCCCAGGTCGACCACAGGGTTATTAAGTCTAGCCAGCCTGCGGTCTATCCTCGCGCCTGTGCCATTCGGACGTTTGCAGCTTCCATTGCCGTGTTTAGTAACATGTCTTGGGCTCATTTTGGGTGCAGGGATTTGGAGGTCGTACAGGTTACTGGCTGCCCATTATTTTGTGACCATGTCTGTTCCTGGGCGTTCTGGTGTTGCTTTGTGTCGCAGGTTGCAGCCTGTTATCTCGACTTTGCGTTGCGGAGTTTGTGGGGGGTCGCCTCCCGGGTCAGCCCTTTCTTTTCCTTCTCTTTGGGTATGAAGCTCCAGGGAGCCATAGGGACTCCCCACAGAAAACCAGCAATGAATGTAATGAAACACTATTTTCTAGGCGAGCCCCAGAGGCTCCATGGCAACCCTTCCCCCCCCACCGGTCGGCGGTTTTATTGCGTTTGTTGAAGCTTAGCCTCCGAATCGGAGTACTATGCAGCCGGCATGGTGAGGTCCAGGCCCCCCTCCCCCTCTTGGGGAGGGGGAGGGCTGCGTGGATGAGCAGTGCGGCAGTAGTGTGTTACGTTTGCTTGTTTCCTTGGGATTATAGGAAGTTCTACCTCTCTGTTCGGTTTTTGTTGTTAGTTTCTTACTGTGTGGGGTTTGTTTTGTTATGCCTACTTTTCTGGGTGCCTAACCCCGGTCGATGGCAGATAAGGAAAACCCCCCAACCACAGGGGGGTTTTTCCAGGGCCATTGCTCCCTGCAACCTCTCTAAAGGGGCCAGGTTCTGGCTCATGGTCCCTGGTAGGTCTGTACTCCATAGCTAATGTCCCAGTGTAACACGGGTTAGGGTTTCTCTCTCTTTTCTTCCTTCTACTCCCTCTACCCGTATTCTTACTTATTATTCTCTACCAAGGGACTCCAAAACTTTTACCAAAGCCCACTCCACGCCACGTGGTCCTAAAGACGATTGACCGACTTAGGATTCTACACCCAGTATGACGTGACCTAAGCCCTGAGCAAAACCCTAGAGTCGCCTCTATGCTGCCACCACCAGACCAGCTCTACAGAGCAATGATCGAGGTCTGGATCGATCACGCTAATTAATCAACCTTGGGGCTTGATCCCCACTAGTAGTTTATAACCTCGGAAACTTGAGTGTGGAATTAAATAGATGGGGATGATGAATTCCGATCCGATGTTAGAATCGGCGCCCAATGCAACTCTGCCTCGTGTGGACCACGTGACCAGGACAAGTTTACACATAACCAAATGGAAACAATAAAATGCAAATTAATAACAAATTTAATTTATTAAAAGAAAACTAAAACAAAATCTAAATGTGTTCACTCCCTATCACTTTAACACTCCCTACTTGACCTGAATGGCAAATGAGAAGACTATTTCTATACATAACCATAGCAACTATACCTCTATGTTTCCCAGCTCTCGGTGTTGGGGCTGGTCTTGGGGAGAGGTAAGATGTTTTGACCTCTCCCAGCTGCTCGGCAGATCACACTGATTTTTTCCTTGTCTGGACTACCCCAGACAGAGTATTGTATCCTTCCGCCTAGTCAAAGTCCTACCCAGTTACTAGCAAGGTTTAAGTTATAACAATTAACCTCTGTTGTACTTAATTGATCCAGACTGGTTGAATTATTTTACTGAATTAAATTACAAACATCTAACGGCAGAGCTGTTCCCGATCCCCAAAATGGTTAATTGAACTTTGAGAAATACTAGACATGTCAACCCTGCTGACCTATGACCGCCGGTCACTCCGCCTTAAAAGTTAGATCTGATTCGTGACGTCACTGATGGTGACTTAAACTCAATAATTAGAATACTCTTGATATTGTATCCAGTACTATTATACAATACAATTTTAATGCAAAATGAATAAAGGCTAATTTTCTCTAAATTACTGAATACTATAGGATGGTTCATTATACGCAGCTATGAACAAAGATGCCCGCCATTTGTGACTCAGACCTGCTAATTCCCAGGGGACTGGGCGTTGTTGAGAGGTCAGGTCCCTACTCGAACTTCTGGAACCTTCTGGAATAATTCTTACAACAGCCTAGTTTGTTACACCAGTCTAATATAACATACATTAGCCCAATAAGCTCCAGGGAGCCGTAGGGGCTCCCCACAAAAAAGTTATTAATAAATTTCAAATTTCAAATAGTTTTATCTGAAATGACAAAGTACTAATTTATAAAGCTATGCTGTTCTCTTATGCATAATATATTCAGATGTATTCTAGTATATAGTCTGGTAGCTGAGTTATCTTGCCTATAATCTTAGATTCATGATATATGTAGTCTGTCAGCTGACTTATCTTGCCATGGATGTCATGGCACAGGAAACCTTGTAGTGCTGGTATACCTAACAAAATTTCCCTTTTGGGAAATTTTTTACCAAATGCCAGAGATTCCTTTTTTTTTGTATTTGTAATGTTCTGATAATCTTTCAATCTTTTCTTTTGCAGGTCTGACTTTCACCAGAAGAAATTCTTGCAGTGCCAACACCCAGTGGTATTAATGCTATTGAGTCAGAAATACTGCACACATAATAGTACCAGCAGTGTCAGGAAGTGCATCATATTGTCAAGGATGTTACACGTACAGAGGCAAATTTTTGTTGTCCTGATCACATTTCAAACTCCTTAGCAGCCTGTTATGTCCACTCATCTGAAGCACTGTACTGGTATTATCAATATCTCGTGCACTGTGACCATGGTGACATTTGTCTGAAGCACTGTACTGGTATTATCAATATCTCGTGCACTGTGACCATGGTGACATTTGTCTGAAGCGCTGTACTGGTATTATCAATATCTCATGCACTGTCGCCATGGTGACATTTGTCTGAAGCACTGTACTGGTATTATCAATATCTCGTGCACTGTGACCATGGTGACATTTGTCTGAAGCGCTGTACTGGTATTATCAATATCTCATGCACTGTCGCCATGGTAATACTCATCTGAAGCACTGTACTAGTATTATCAACATCTCATGCATTGTCACCATGGTAGCACTCTTCTGAAGCACTGTATCGGTATTGTCAACATCTTATACATTATGACACCATGATAACACTAATACATTATATAGTAAATGTGAATTCTTATCTTTGGGAGAGAAATTACTCCTGAAACTCACAGGGCTGTCCAGGCAAGATAAAAAAATCAATGTTTTTAATGTTGAAAACTTATTCTCTGACACTATTTTACAATATATATATTGCATAGTATATTGGTAATCTAACATCCTTTAATATTATAGAGCACAATAATATTTTCTTACTGTTTATGAATTGATAACACCGTTGATTTATATAGTCAACTTTTACATTCTCTTTTATGTCTTTACAAGTAATTTAATTGCTTCATATTCATACCAAAGGGAATAGAATTTTTTTGAGCAGTAAATTTGATCTTCAGCACCATCTGTTGACAGCAAAGGTAATGCTTCATAACTTGGCTGCTCTAGGCTGGCTGGCACATAGTGGCACTTAATATAGTGAGTTGCAATTCAAGTATTTAGCATCTTTAACAACATTTCCTTTAGTAATCTACAAAATTGTGTATAGCTTAAAAGCCATATCACAAGTATTGTTATTAAAACTTCTCTTTAATAGAATATACTGTATATATATATATATACTATATATATATATATATATATATATATATATATATATATATATATATATATATATATAGCAAATTAGAATTTATTCAGGAGAGAAGTAACAACAGTAATCAGTGTCTACAAGACTTTAATAATATAATTTATGAAGTTTCATTTGAGAAAATATTTAAGGTCTTTAGAGTAATATGACTTGTCAGATCAATACATGCCAGTAAACTGTACAGAAATTTCTTCAAAAAAAAAAAAAACTCGTCAGGATTAAATTTCTAGAGCGCTGTCTAAGACATATTCGTATAATCGCAGACAATAATTTGTCCAAAACTACTTTCAGAAATATAAAAAATTAAATATGAGTGGTCATTCAGCAGAGAAACCCTATCACTGTTCTGTGTGTCCAAAAGTTTTTTTATGGAAATCACATTTAAAAATTCACATGAGGATTCATACAGGAGAGAAACCATATCAATGTTCAGAGTGTCTAAAAGACTTTTCCTATAAATCAAGTTTAATAAAGCATGTTATGATTCATGCAGTAGATAAGCCATATCAATGCACAGAGTGTCTAAAAGACTTTTCAGATAAATCAAGTCTTATTAGACACATGAGGATTCATGCAGGAGAGAAACCATATCACTGTTTAAAGTGTCTAAAAGATTTTTCACAGAAATCAAGTCTAATATCACACTTAAGGATTCATACAGGAGAGAAACCATATCAGTGTTCAGAATGTCTTAAAGTCTTTTCACGGAAATCACATCTGATTATACACATGAGAATTCATACAGGAAAGAAACCATATCAGTGTTCAGTATGTCCTAAAAACTTTTCACAGAAATCAAGCCTAATATCACACATGAGGATTCATACAGGAGAGAAACCATATCATTGTTCAGTGTGTCTAAAAGACTTTTCATATAAGTCGCATCTAACAACGCATATGAGGATTCATACAGGAGAGAAACCATATCAATGTTCAGAGTGTCTAAAAGACTTTTCACAGAAATCGCATCTAATAACACACAAGAGGATTCATACGGGAGAGAAACCATATCAATGTTCAGTGTGTTTAAAACACTTTTCAGATAAATCAAGTCTAATAAAGCACTTGAAGACTCATGCAGGAGAGAAATCATATCAAAGTTTAAAGTGTCTAAAAGACTTTAAACATAAATCAAGTCAATAAAGTGCATTGTTCAAAGCATCTAAGACACATTTCATAGAATTTAAGGCTAATAATGCACAAAAGGATTCATACAAGAGAAAAATCTTATAAATATTGTGGGTAAAATGCTTTTTGTTTAAATGAAGTCTAGCAACACATGGAATTTCATATAGAAGAATAATAGCATTGTCTCTAGTAACTTTACATAATGGAAATTTAGTAATATTTATAGAGTTGGAGTTGAAAATCCATAACAGAGCTTTTGTTGTTTGAAAGTTACATAAACTTGATACTTGATCGAGTTACCTGCTCGTAGACGTCACATTTTCATGGCGAGGGAGTTCCCAGGTGTCATTCTTGAGCTGGTAGGTTAGCTTCAACCCTTTTTCTTGTCTGTTACAGTGGTATGTGGGTTAAGGCACACTCTGTGTTCAGGGCTCTGAGTTACTGGACCAACTGTCAGATGGGGGTTTCCTTTGAAGGGATACCCTGTGTAATTACCTAGGTGTAGTTACAGGATGAGAGCTACGCTCGTGGTGTCCCGTCTTCCCAGCACTCTGTCATATAACGCTTTGAAACTACTGACGGTCTTGGCCTCCACCACCTTCTAACCTAACTTGTTCCAACCGTCTACCACTCTGTTTGCGAAAGTGAATTTTCTTATATTTCTTCGGCATTTGTGTTTAGCTAGTTTAAGTCTATGACCTCTTGTTCTTAAAGTTCTAGGTCTCAGGAAGTCTTCCCTATTGATTTTATCAATTACTGTTACTATTTTGTATGTAGTGATCATATCACCTCTTTTTTCTTCTGTCTTCTAGTTTTGGCATATTTAATGCCTCTAACGTCTCCTCGTAGCTCTTGCCCTTCAGTTCTGGGAGCCACTTAGTAGCATGTCTTTGCACCTTTTCCAGTTTGTTGATGTGCTTCTTAAGATATGGGCACCACAACCACTGTATATTCTAGCTTTGGCCTAACAAAAGTTGTGAACAATTTCTTTAGTATATCGCCATCCATGTATTTATAAGCATTTCTGAAGTTGGAAAGTGTGAATGGATATGAGTGCCCAGGCCAGGATGCATAAAGGGAACAGATTTTTTTCACCAGCTTTGCTAAATGAATGATGCAGTAGATTTTCCCTGTTGAAGAGTGTGAGTGCAGCTCGAGATAACACACCCTGTTTTGTATCAGCTGACACTGAGTTCCTCTCACTGCCCTGGTAAGTGGTTCATACTATTAATTTTCATATTTTAAGGTTATCGAGCTCTCTACATATACCTCTCATACTTGTCTGGTGGACAACCAAGCTTTAGTAGTAACAATCTTGAAAGATCCATTTTTCCGAGGGAGACCTCTCATGCTGTGTTGCGCTATGACCCGACAGTCTCTCCAATTCAATCCTCTCTATACCTTGACTGTCTTTGTGGCAGTAGCTTTTGCATTGCCAATGCTTGCTGGAATCAGGTGTTCACATGCAGGATGTGTCCAACATTCTCATGGATGGTACATCTCTTCTGTCCCATTTGTATGGAGTGGACCATTCACAATGCAACATGCATTGGATCTGCAAGATGTTCAGTCACTCCAAGGTGGACCTCTGTGTGTCACCATGGAACTGTGCTTTCCCTCCAACGTGGCTCCATTTCCCAATCACGAGACTCTCATGGTGGATACCTTTCGAGTGGACTGGTCAAAGTGGAGATGCAGCTTAGCCTTTTCTTTAATTCAGTTATTGCTCTGGGATTTGTCCATTCTGGAGTTGTATTCAGGGTGGGTAATTCTTCTGGCTCCTTTGTGGCTAACCCAGCCTTGGTTTCCAGTGCTTCTTGCCTACTGTCCAGACCTAGGCATTTTTCCACAGCTCTGCCTCTTTCAGCAGATCAGCCCAGATGTGTACTTCTTGGGTTTGATCTCCTCTACCATCTGGAGTTTTTTACTTGTGTTGGTATGGAGAGCAGGTGGCTGGTTTGTTGGTATCACACTTGCGTCTCTTCACAGTGGCAGTAAGAAATTACCTGGCACTTGTTTTTGCCAATATCCGTCTCTTTCTTGTCTCTCTGGTTTTGGTCAAGGCTCTCATGTCCTTTTATCTTGATTGTTTCTAAATCTGCATCTTATGCCTAATACTGTTGCCTCTTAAAAATCATCAGTGACAGAACCACTGTTGCTTGCATTCTGCATTGGCTCTTCCTCTGTGCCATTCCGCAAATTGTATTCAGTGTTTTTTCACCTCTGGCTAGTTCATGCTTCTCCTGTGCCATTTTGTACACAGGATGGTGTTGCTCTTCCTTTCCCAACCTCATTTTAGGGGTTTTCCCTTTGGCTCCTAATATCTTTTTCAAAGCTGTGTTTTTGTTGGTTATCGCCTCAAGCTGTAGGAGTAGGATTCATGCTCTTAGAGGCTGGAATTTTGTTGCTTTGCCTTGGTAAACAGTTTATTCATTTGCAGACTTTTTTTCTGGTAAAGAATGATTCTGCTAGTTTTCTGAGGGGGTCCATTGATGATTGATGCTTGGTTATCTGACCAGGGGTGCATCATTTGTTGTGTCCGGTGGTGGCTCTTCACTGCTACCTGCGGGTCACTGGTTCTGCCTCAGTGGATACCTTGTTGGTTGACCCTATTTCCTTAGTCCCCCTGTTCCAAGGCTTTTACTTTTATTTTTGGCATCAAATCTAGTCAACTTGCAGTCTACCCTTGGGCCCACGATGTTCCCAAGTACAGTGGCACCTCGACATACGATTGCCCCTACTTACGATAATTTCGAGTTACGATGTAAATTTCATCGAAAAATGTGACTCGACATCCGATGGCGTCGTCGACTTCCGATATTTGTTGGTACACGTTCGGGTCGACCGAGCGCGTGGTTCCAGTCACGCGGCCGACCTGCCTCAGTTTACTACAGCTGCCCGCTTAGTGACGATCGCGCCTATAAGAAATTCCGCTTTTGTGGTGATTTTTTGCATTTTGAACATTAAAGTAATTATTATATATCACGCCATGAGTCCCAGGAAAGTCAGTGGTAAGGCTCAACATGTGAAAACCCATGTAAGGATGACCATAGAGCAGAAACAAGAGTACAGAATGTCTCTTCCTCAACAATTAAGAAAATGTGTGCAGCATGGGAAGAATTGCAAACCTTTGCTGAAACGACTCGCCCAAATCAAGCTGCAGTAGGTCGTTGCCTTAAGCTATTCAATGACACTGTGATGCAGCATTACAGACAAATGTTAAAACAAAGGGAAAAACAAATGTCTCTTGACAAATTTGTAGTGAGACAAACAAGCACTGAACCACAACCAGGTCCTAGTGGTATTCAGGCTAAACGTAGGAGAGTACCCCAGAGAAAACATCACTGCCTGATGTAATAATGGCAGGGGACTCCCCTTCCAAACAGGAACAACTCTTCCCCCCCTCATCACCATCTTCCATATGCCATCAAGAGCCCTCCATAAAGGTAAGAGAAACTTAGGTACTGTATTGTAGTTAGAAAAAACATTGTATTCAGTATGAAATGTATTTGTATGTTAATATTTTGGAGGGTGGGGAACGGATTAATTCAAATCCCTTTATTTCTTATGGGAAAAATCGCTTCGACTTACGATCCGTCTCTGGGAATGGATTAGCATCGTAAGTCGAGGCCCCATTGTATGCTGCATTGGCAGCTGTCTTCTCCAACATGTGACTTGGTAATTTTGGCACTAACAGGGGTTTGGCAGCCTGGTATTTGGTTAATAATAATCGTCCCTGTTCCCAGTCAGTCATGTGTTGCCTTGGCCATGTCTCCCAACCTGGATTCTCTTCTTTGACCTAGTTCCTGCTGCCTCTCCTCTTTTCTAGTAAATCCTGTTTTTTTTCTGTGATAAGCTTCAGGGAACCACCTGGGAGATCCTCCAGAAACCTAGCATTAAACGTACTGAAACTCCTCTTTCTGGATGAGCCCTGGTGGCTCCCTGACTCCCTACTTCCCTCCCTCCCTGCCTACCAGGTTAGTTCATATTGTGCTGTTCATCAGCTACAGAACTGGCTAACAATATGGCTGCATGTGAAAGCCAGGACACCTGGTGGTGGCATTTGGTACTGTGAGTTTTGAGCTAATTTTGTATATTTCTCTTGTTGTCTGTGAATCGTTTGTAAAGTTTTCTGTGTGGAGCCCTGTCGACTCCCTGAAGCTATCCAAACTGACTTGTGCCATATTAGTTTGCCATTGGTCATTAGAGTTCTGTGCCTACTGGAGACCACGAGTCAGAACCTGGTCCCATCAGAGATGCGCAGGGAGCAATGGCCATTATGAGCACTCTACATTTAGAGTATGTTATGTCTGCCATCGACCTGGGAGAGTACCCAAAAAGTTAGACGAAACTATACAAACCCCCAACTTTTAAAAATTGAAACCTGCATCCGAACTGAGCCAAAGAACTTCCCCAAAAGAAAACAACCAAGCAAATCGACAACCACTAGCACGCCCGCTCGTTAGTGCCTCCCCCCCCCCTGAATGGGGGGAGGGGGAGCCAGCTCACCCTTTCAGTTTTTGACCGATGTGTCTGGTGATCAGATGTCACCCCTGGCCTTGCTTTCCTGTACTGGATTTTGCCCTGTGTGGCTGTACCAGCAGCGTGTGGTGTGGTGGCCAGGTATTCTTGGTACACAGGGCTGCATGTGCCTAGGAAGATCTTTCCTAGGTGCCATGTAAGTACTTCCCTTGTATTTCAGGGTTATCTTTCCTGGGGCATTAAGTTCTCAGCTCTTCAGCTGATGTGATACGGCATGGTCGTCTGGCTCCAGCTCCAGACTCTTGTGTTGTGCTGTTCTCTGGTTCAGTACTGCACTTACGGTGGCATGCTAACTGGAAGTAATATTCACAGCTACTCGGGCTGCATGTGCTTAGGGTCTCCTTCCCTGAGTGCCCTGTAAGTAATCCCATTGGGGCTTGGGGTTTTCTTCCACAAGTCACTTTGGATCTACCTCTGTTGGTCATTTGCTGCTCGGCGATTGACCGCCCCAAGTGTTTTGGGGGATTTCCACCCTTGTCTACCTTGGGGTAAGTGGTAGTTTTGCACTGGTAGGGGAACAGGGTACTGCGCAGCTAGTTTTCACCTATAACAGCGGCCGGCTCGGTTCCTTCTGGGTACGCTGTTCTCTTGCGAGGTTTTCTTTTTGCCTGGTGGAGGGAGGGGGTCTGCCTTGGTGTTCCTTCCTGCTGTTATATTAGGGTTTGCCGTTCTTTTTGGTGGTAACCCCCTGCTTCTCCTTCATGAGTGGACCGGGGAGGGTCCTATGTAGGGATGGAGGTAGCGGGAAGGGTCCTGTGGGGAAATGGAGGTAGCAGGGAGGGTCCTATGTGGGGATGGAGGTAGCGGGAAGGGGTCCTGTGGGGGGAATGGAGGTAACGGGGAGGGTCTGTGAATTGGGGGATGGAGGTAGCAGGGAGGATCCTGTTTGGGGATTGGGTGATGGAGGTAGTGGGGAGGGCCCGGGTGTGACCAACTCCTGTTTGACCTAGTTGGATACAGTCACTGCAGCAACCCATCTCACTACCGCGCACCCATTCCTTATGCCGCGCGTCCTGCTAATCACCCACCCACTCGCCCACCCACTCCCTCTTCGTCCCATCCTGC